GCCGGCCTCAAGCCCAGCAACTGGAAGACACACTGGGATTCGGCTTGTGCCTTATTCCAATTGCCGGGCTTCAATGGGCTGTGTCTTTCTATGGACTATATGCATTGCATGTTTCTTGGGTGGTTGCAGTATGCATATGGCTCCGTGCTCTCTCTCGTTTTCTCGGATTGCTTGGAAGGCACAGAGGCTGAAAGGCTGAAGCATATCGATTCCTTCATCAAGAATTACCAGCGAGAACATGGCACCAGATACAAGTTCAAGCAAAAGCTCCTCAAACTTACGATGATACAGCCCAAGAAAGGTTTCCCAAAGATTCGTGGCAGGGCATCGGATGTGCAAAGCTTGGACACTGCCCTTCTAGCATTTTTTCAGCAGGAGATGGACGAAGAGAACTACCAGCACAAGCAGATTCTGCTCTTTCTCCGTTTGAATTGTCGTTTGTCTGAGAAGTTAGACACGTTTTCGCCAAGGCATGGGTACCTGGCTTTGCCTGAGCAGGAAGCACGGCAGGCTCTGCTCTGCGGCCTGCAGATGGCACAGCTCCACATCAGCTTGCAGCAGCACTACAAAGCTGCAGGGAGGCACTTATTTAACCTCACAAGCAAGACACACTTTGCTTTGCACAGCCTGTCGCTCAGTGGCTGCATTCATCCAGCAATGGTCTGGTGCTTCAAGGGCGAGTCCACCATGCATCGGGTTCAGACCCTTTGGAAGAGTTGCCTGCCTGGTGTCAAGCATTGGCAGGTCGCCAGGAAGGCTGCCCTCAAGGAGCGGCACCTTCTGTGGCTGAGGGGCAAGGTCGGGTGAACTTTTGTCTGTGCGAGGGCCAAAAAAAATTGTTCCTGTTGTTTACATGTGAGGTTTCTATGTGAGAGAGAGCCGGCCCATGCCCCAAAACGGAGAAAGAGCTAGCCGGTTGATGAGAGACGTTTTACTTTGCGAGTTCTGTGCCTCTCATATTTACATATAAAGTGTCAGAGAGACAAAAAAGTACTTCGATGTGATCATGCCTTGTTTTGGACCTGGGGAAAGCGATTATATTGTCTCACAGGAAACTCACAAGCAAATTATAGTCCGTAGTTATATCCTGAGTGTTGTCTCGCAAGTAAACGAATGTTATCACAAGTAAACACACAAACAAATGAGTCCGTAGTTTCTGTCTCGCAAGTAATTCTGTCTCGCAAGTAGTTCTGTCTCGCAAGTAATATAGGGTTTAGGGTTTAGGGTTTAAGGTTTATAGGGTTTAGGGTTTATGGCTTAGGGTTTAGGCATGTTCCCACTTTTTACTCACGACGGCGGACGAAGCTTGCCAAGTGCTGCCAGTATAAAGGCTGTGCTTTTGTACATAGAGCACAGGGGCGACTGACAGATCTCTTATTTTGATGCCCGTGGTGGGCAAAACATGCACAAAAAAGCCGCACAGCTGTGCATCACTGCTCGTCGGGCACCCGCTTGAACCAAACCCAGTACCTTTGTTGTCATCCAGCTCTCATGTAAAAAAGAACATATATATATATATATGTATATTATACATCTCTTTTTATCTTTTTCAAGCTAAGTTGCCAGATGACCAAGCCAGTCAGCGGATCCTCCCACTTTTTCCAGCACCACACCCACTTCCTTTCTGTTACACACGTCTAGACTGCACACAAGTAAACCGCTCTATTGTGTATTCATAGATCTATGACTCACGAAAATTTTTTCCATGTCAGCTCCAAGATTCATCTGCCTGGGTGAACGACTGCGATCTCGCCGACCGCTTTCCATGGTGTGGCTCTGGCGAGACAAGTGAAGCTGTAGCAATGGCAGGCTGGGGCCGATATACACCGCAAGAAAAACTGAACCTCTCACATGCACAACAAGCCTCGCAGAAAACAATACCCACAGAGTCTCACATGTAAAACGATACACTTTCATCGCAAGCAAGTTCGGCTCTTTCTCGTTTGGAACAGCCCTGAGAAAAAGTGGTTTAAGGTTGGAAAAAATCCTCGCAGGTAAGCATTTTGTCATGAAGTTTCATGTTTTCGAAAGTATTTCAGTTTTTTGGCACAAAATTCATTAAGCATTTTGTATGAAGTTTTGACGCGTTTTTTATGAAGTTTTGACGCGTTGTTTATGAAGTTTTGGTGTTCGGAGAAAATTTACGTTTAGTCGGAAATTTAGGTTTTTCGTAACTAAAAAACTCCATTTACGTAAATCCAACCGAAACCTGAATTCACGTATTCTGGAGACTCAGGGTGGTATCGCAGGAGCTGGCAAGGTTGCTGTGCGCGATGTTGTACAAGGATGGGGATGACCTCACCACACTGCTGGTCGAGGCAGGCATCCTCATCGCGAAGAGTGGCGGAGGGCATCAGCTAAACCGCGTCGTCCTGAAGAAGTGCTTCGTCGGTCACGTGGTGGTCTCTGAGGGCCACTGGGTGACTGCCTATTGGCCCCGCGGCCAAGCAGGCGACTGCCGGTACCGGGTCTGCACCTTGAAATTCGTCGGAGGCCTGCGCGGCTCTCCCAATTTGAATAACGTGCCAGTCATCAGGGCGCGTGGTCGCAAGAGAAAGCAAAGGCGGTAAGCTCGAAAGTTGGAGCCCCACCCCCAGAACACGCGCCAGTGTTGAAACGTGTCTGCAAGTTAGCGCACATGTTAGCAAGGGCGGGGCGGGTGTGCCCGAGAGGTGCGCGCGTTCTTGGCGCAAACTGGGGGCGGGGAAGGGGGGGCCTCCCCGCGTCTGCGCGGTCTGCGTGGTGCAACCGGGGGCGCCCTGTAACGCGCCAGCGTCGAAGCACACGTCCGCAAGCCAGCACTGTCGGCAGTTGCTTTGCGCAGTGTTTGATTGGCCCTTGGTGAAACGGGCCCCAAAAATCTGCGGTGGAGTGGGGCTCACGCTGAATTTGCCTGCGTGGCATGTCCAGCCCCCCCCCCCCGCCACACCAGCAGCGCGGCGGACGTGTGTTTCAACGCTGGCACGTTATCAGGCGAGGTCTGCGGGGGGCGCTTGCGCCAAGACCGCGCAGACACCACTCCAAGCGCCCTATATGGGGAAGGGGCACGGCCCGTCCAAGCTGTCTGCGCGTATTGGGCAGGGCTGTGGCCCAAAAACTGCCCTCTGCCTTGGCCTGGTCGAAGCTGTCCTGGCCCTGCTGCAAAAGATTTGTGCCTGGTCCACGCAGCGGCCCCTTTTCCGTGGCCCTGGCCTCTCGGATCCAACCCAAGCAGTCCACGCACGTGTGGAGGTCCCCAAAAGGGTGTGAGACGAATGTGATGCTTTGTAAAAAAAAGAGAAGGTCTTAACTCTTTGAGAGTTGTAAGTGGTCGGTCTTTGGTTGCGCAGCGGTCGAGCAGTTTGGGGGGTGAAACGGCTCCCGCGGCACTCTGCTCTGAGCGGTGTTTGTTGGTGGTCTTGGGTTGGCATGTCTGGCGTGTTATTGGTGCAAACTTCGGCCGAACCGCGCTCCCTCACCCCCCCCCCGAACCTTCCCCATAACGCACGCGGGCGTGCCCGACATTCTGCAAAGAGTGCTTTGACAACAGGGTTCACGCGGTTGGTGCAAACGGGGGGGGCTGCGCCCCCCCCAAACCCCCCCCCCCTGTAACGCGCCAGCAGCACTGTCGCCAGTTCGCTTGGCGCAGTGTTTGAGCGCTTCGCGAGGCGCAACAGCGGCGGCCCCCCCGCCCCTCCGAACCTTACCCCATAACGCACGCAGGCGTGCCCGACATTCTGCGAAAGGGTGCTTTGACAACAGGGTTCGGGCGGTCTTGGCGCAAACGGGGGGGGAGCTGCGCCCCCCCAACCCCCCCTCCTGTAACGCGCCAGCAGCACTGTCGCAAGTTCGCTTTGCGCAGTGTTTGAGCGGTTTGGGGGTGAACCCCTGAGGTGAAACAGTCACACCCCCTCCCCCCCCCCCCAACCCCGCCCTGACCAGCCCGCACATCGCGCAGGCAGGGCTGTGGCCCAAAGCTGTCCTTCCCCTGCTGCAAAGCTTTGTGCCTGGTCCACGCACCGTGCCCTGGCCTTTCTGACCCAAGCTGTCCACGCACGTGTGGATCCCCAAAAGGGCGTGAGTGCTGACCCATGTGATGCTTTGTAAAAAACAAAAAGAAGGTCTCAACTCCTTGGTTTTGCTTTGAGCAGTGTTTGAGCGGTCCCGGGGTGGGCATGCCTGCGTACGAGGACACGCAGTACAAACATGTTTGGGGCGGGGAAAGGGGGGGGTTTACAGTGTGTCCCGGGGGTCATAGAACAAGAGCGGAACAGAATGTACATGGCGACCGAAGTTGAAGGGCTCCGTCATTCGAGCTTTTCTTTTCTAGTCCCATGCGGAGATGCGAACCGAGCACCTTTCCACGTTGGCTGTGTGAGAACTCGGTGGACCAGAAGTAGTTATGGGACAGTTCTGAGTTCGCCGCCGCTTTGGGGACTGTGTAGCAGCGATAACAGTGGTTCTCAGAGTCGCGAGTGAGAGAGGTCGAACAAAGCATCTCCGAATGTAAAAGTCTGCTGAGCTCGCCACTTTGGGGACTGTACAGTAGCAGCGATAACAGTGGTTTCCAAAGTCGCGGGTGAGAGAGGTCGAACAGAGCACCTCCGAATTTAAAGTCTGGTGAGCTCATCGCTCCGGGAAAGTACAGCAAATACAGTGTTTCCAAGCGGAAAGCGAGGTCGAACAGAGCACCTCGCGAAAGATGAGCGGGTGAGAGGTCGGACAGAGCACCTCCCTGAAAAAGAGTGGCTTGCACGCAGAGTGTGAGCATGTGAAATTCCTCGGAGGCCTGTGTGGGTGCCCCCGCCGCGCTCACGCGCACGCACATACGCACACCTACATGCCCACCCGCGCGCGCACGCACATACGCACGCGCACATACGCACGCGCACGTGCATTGCGCCCTGTGAAGTCCGGGCCCCCGTCCCGTGCACACGCACATGCACACACGCGCGCGCACGCAGGCACGCACGCACGAACGCAAGTACGCACGCACCCACGCACGCTGTACCTCTGCCGAGGTTTGGCCCTCAGCTGGAGCGCTTGCAGGGGCTTGGCAGAGGGGGCGAGTACTTGTGTTCGAACTGCTCGTCGTTGTATGAGGGTTCTAGACCTCCAGAATTTCAGAATTTCAAGGGTTCGGGGGGGTAACCCCCCGACATCTGTAGCATAAAAAAAAGCACCTTCAGCATAAGAAAAGACACCCTCCAGCATAAGGGGGGGGGGGAGAGCATAAATAAAAAAGTGGCAGAGCATAAGAAAAAAATCGCCGGGGCAGATCGCATAAGAAAAAGCGGGGGGAGCATAAGAAAAAAATCGCTGCCCAAACCCTACAACCCCCTCTAAGCCCAAAAAACCGTAAGCCCCATAGACCCTACAGAGCCTATAGAGCCTACAAAACCTAGCCCTTGAAAACCCTGAAAAACCTTAACCAATCATCAGAAAAGCTTTCAAAAACCGTAAGCAACCTTCCTAAACGCTCAAAAACCTGACGGCAAGAAAACCCCTAAGCCCCTAAACCCCTAAACCCCTAAACCCCTAAACCCTAAACCCTAAACCCTAAGCCCTAAACCCTAAACCCTAAACCCTAAACCCTAAGCCCTAAACCCTAAACCATAAACCCTAAACCCTACCACGCTGGAGTTGCCTGAGCCCAGGATCATCCGCACCTCTGGCGACCAGACGCCTCGGCAGACGGACAAAACGGCAGCGGCAGCGAGGGGTTTGGGGGTGCAGGGCATGGGGCTTAGGGGCTTTGAGGGATTAGAGCTTAGAGGGGTTTAGGGTTTAGGGTTTGGGGTTTGGGGTTTGGGGTTTAGGGTTTGGGGTTTAGGGTTTAGGGCTTAGGGTTTAGGGTTTAGGGTTTAGGGTGAGTCACGGCCACGCTTAGAGCTGTCAATTAACACGCGGCTGCGCACCTTTGCAGAGGCTGCACGCAAGCCTTTGGCTTGCATGTCAGACGTTCGAGGGCAGGGTTTAGGGTTTCGGGTTTCGGGTTTCGGGTTTAGGGTTTAGGGTTAGGGGTTTAGGGTTTAGGGTTTAGGGTGTAGGTGCGGAGCTTGGGGCTTAGGGGCTGTGAGGGTTTAGACTTTAGGGGTTTTAGAGGTGCAGAGGTATTGGACGTTTTCGAGGATGTAGAGGTTGTAGCGGGTTGTAGGTTTTGGGGTTTTGGGTTTAGGGTGTGAGCCTTGCTGATGTGCAAGGAGCAGTTGAGGGGTGTACTTAGAAGCTCTTTTGACTTAGCCACTCGACTTAGTATCCCCTAAAGAATCCCCATAACCCACCTTCCTAACCCTACTTACAAAGTCAAAAGGGCTTCCAGGTAGGGAAGCCCTGAAGACGGACGAAGTGGGAGTAATGAGGGTTCTAGGATTTAGGGTTTTAGGGATTGAGGGTTTGCGGGTTTACGGCTTTACGGCTTTAGTTTGGGATGTTCCCTCCTTATACTAATCGTTCTTCATAGGGAGTTTGGTATCCCCGATTCTAACCCCTGTTAAGGACAGCTAGTTAAGGGGGAACATCCCAAGATTTAGCGCTTTAAAGTTTTAAGGTTTGGGGGTTTCAGGGTGTTTCGGGTTCAGGGTTTTGTCAGCCCTCAAACTAGGACTGAAGGTGGCCGCAAGCCCCGAAACAGGCAACCCAATGGAAGCCGTAAAACCCTGCACCCTAAACCCTACACCCTAAACCCAAAATCCTAAACCCTGAAACCCAAAACCGTAAACCCAAAACCCTAAAACTCTTGAGTCCCCTTCTAAGGAAAGAGCGATCCTGAGTGGGCCAAGAGGCACCTGCTGAGACCCCACTGCACTGGAAGGGTTCAGGGTTTAGGGTCAGGGTTTAGGGTTTAGGGTTTAGGGTTCAGGGTTTAGGAATCAGGGTTTAGGGTTTAGGGTTTAGGGTTTAGGGTTTAGGGTTTAGGGTTCAGGTGGATTCGTTGGAAATTCGATGGGTTTTGGGATTTGTGGCTTAGGGTGTGTAGGGTTTAGGGGTTGAGGGTTTGTCGGAGTTTGTAGGGTTTTTTAGGGCTTTGTAGGGTTTGTAGGGTTTTTGTAGGGTTTGTCGGGACTTCAAGGAATGCGAAGCTTCTTGACCGCGCCCTTCGTGTGAAGCAGCAGCTGGGCATGTATCTCAGCAAGCTGCTCGGCCAATGCTTCGGGTTTAGGGTTTAGGGTTCGGGGTTCAGGGTTCAGGGTTTAGGGTTTAGGGTCTAGGGTTGCCCTAAGAGCCCAAAACTTCTGGTTGTGCCTTAAGAATCCTCTGTGGGGCTGTAAGAAGAAAGAGCCTACAACAAAAAAGAATCGGCCCAGGTTTCTTGAAGTAGGGCTTGGGGTTCAGGTGTTTTCGAGTGGGACCGGCCCTAACCCACACCCACCTAAGTACGGCATATTTAGGGGTTATTTGGGACTTATATGGGCCCGTTGGTGGGTCCTCTGTATCGTACGGCACCATTAGATTAAGGATCCCCCAAAAAAGGCACCGAATTTAGAGAGCCACCCAGATATTACTGGACTGAGGGGATGTGTATACAATGTGGCTCCAAAAAGTAGATGCCCTAAGGGTTCCTAAGAATGACCCAATAGTAGCATAGGGTGCTATGTGGGGGGCTTGACTTTCTGGATCCTCCCAGAGGTCTGGTTTAGCGGCGTTTTGCACGAAGTCTTGAGGCCCAAGCAAGAATTCAGATTGCAGGAGGTGGGGGGGGGGGGGTTGAAGTTCAGGATCCGCCTGAACACAAAACCCTAAACCCCTAAGCCCCTACACACCTAAACCCTTAAACCCCTAAACCCCTAAACCCCTAAACCCTAAACCCCTAACCCCTAAAACCCCTAAACCCCTAAACCCCTGAACCCTAACCCCTAAACCTAAACCCCTGAACCCCTGAACCCCTAAACCCCTAAACCCCTAAAACCCCTAAAAACCCCTAAACCCCTAAAACCCCTAAACCCCCCCCCCTAAACCCCCCCCTAAACCCCTAAACCCTAAACCCTAAACCCCTAAACCCCCCCCCTAACCCCCCTAAACCCCTAAACCCCTAAACCTAAACCCCCCTAAACCCCTAAACCCTAACCCCTAAACCCCTAAACCCTAACCCCTAAACCCCTAAACCCCTAAACCCCTAAACCCCTAAACCCCCAAACCCCTAGACCCCTAGACCCCTAGACCCCTAGACCCCTAGACCCCTAGACCCCTAAGCCCCTAAACCCTAAACCCTAAACCCTGTCCTTTCGAAAGTCATCTGGTGGATCTTAGGTTTAGCCTCCCGGAGGAGACGTGCGGCAGCGAGGCCCCTAGACCCTAGACCCTGAACCCTAAACCCTAAACCCTAAACCCGACACCCTAAACCGCAAACTCTAAACCCTAAACCCTAAACCCTACACCCTACACCCTAAACCCTAAACCCTAAACCCCAAACCCTATTAGAGTTGCGTTTGGGGCTCAGGGTTCTTGAAGTTAGGAGTTGCTGGCGGTGTGTGGGTTTCGTTTGCAGGCTCAGGACTTGGGGTCAATCGTACAGGTTTGAGGAGTTTGGTGGGGGTGGGGGGGGGTGTCGTAGCCTGCTGAGGTCCTAGGCTCCCCTAAACCCTAAACCCTAAACCCTCAACCCTAAACCTTAAACCCTCAACCCTCAACCCTAAACCCTAAACCCCAAACCCTAAACCCCAAACCCCAAACCTTAAACCTCTGAGAGGTACACCGCCTACAGCGCCTCGCCTGTGCAGCCCTCTTCCTCAACGCGGCAAGGCCGGCTTGAGCCTACGTTTGCCCTAAGCTCTAAGACCGTACACCCCAAGGGTTTAGGGTTTAGGGTTTAGGGTTTAGGGTTTAGGGTTTACGGTTCTGGGTGTAGGGTTTAGGGTGTAGGGTTTAGGGTGTAGGGTTTAGGGTGTAGGGTTTAGGGTTACGGGTGTAAGGTCTAAACTTGCCTTGAATGTTGAAAATTGAAAGCCTAACCCCTAAACCCCAGACCACTCAGTGCTTATATACAGCCTTCCTACCCTCACCCTCGAACCCAGGCACCCATGCAAGCTAGCTGCATGGCATCTTCGCTTCATCTGGCCAGTAAGTCAGGTCAAAGCCTGGCTCAAGCCTTAAATCCTATCCTTCCCTTGCAGAATCCCTGGCTGCTCCTCAGTCAGAGCCTTTCCGTCGAATGCGCTTTGGACCAGCTTATAGAGATCGAGTAACTAGGCTGTCGTACCAGCAACAAGAACGTGGACCTCCAACAACCCCATTGGCTAATCTCCCCTCCTTCAACCCAGGGTTTGGGGTTTGGAGTTTGGGGTTTAGGGTTTAGGGTTTAGGGTTCAGGGTTTAGGTGAAGACCTTGACCGAAGCCCCACTTCCTCCTAGTTGAAGCCCTAGATGCACAAGTCCGTTCATACCCTGCAGCCCTAAAAGCCTCAGCGCCCTTCCGCCTCAAGCCCCAAAAGAGCTCATTCCAACACCTTCAAGCCTTAAACCCTTAAACCCAAAAACCCTAAAGCTTGAACCCCTGAACCCCTCAACCCCTAAACCCCTCAAACCCCTTAATCCCTAAACCCATGTGGTGTCCAGGGCAGCGTACTAACTTTGTGCGTGTTACCCTACGCTTTCCTTCGGACTGTCGACAGATCCGTGACAAAAGCGTGCCTTTCAGGTTGATGTGCTTCAACGCCTAACGAAAGACAAGTGGACTAGCAGTGTAGACGGGAGCCAGGGCAACTTTCTCTGGGTGTCTCGTCACCGCACGCCTGAGGAGCGACACAAGATCAGAGCTATCCTGCAGTGCAAGGACTTCTTTGATGTCCTGCGAGGTAAGTGGCCGGAGAAACAACTTCCACAGCGGGAGTTCGACTGGAGAGGAAGGGTCTTTGTGAGCTCCTACCTGGGCCCCATCCCAGAGGCTCCTTCTTCCGCGGACCTCCCATGATCTTGCATGAACAGATGCCAGCGGGGGCTACACGGGTTGGGCTATCTCCGCTAGAAGAGGACCTTTTTGCGACTTGGCAGGAGTATGGTAACCCCTCAACTCTTCAACCCCTCAAGCCCTCAACCCTAAACCCCAAACCCCCTGAACCCCTAAACCCTGAACCCTGAAATCCTAAATTCTCAAAGCCTAAATCCTAAATCCTAGCCCCTAAACCCTGAACCCGAAGCCAATCACTACTGTT